TTTTCTCACTTCATCATTCGTGGTGCAATGTATCTCTAGCTTTTCTCACTTCATCATTCGTGGTGCAATGTATCTCTAGCTTTTCTCACTTCATCATTCGTGGTGCAATGTATCTCTAGCTTTTCTCACTTCATCATTGTGGTGCAATGTATCTCTAGCTTTTCTCACTTCATCATTCGTGGTGCAATGTATCTTAGCTTTTCTCACTTCATCATTCGTGGTGCAATGTATCTCTAGCTTTTCTCACTTCATCATTCGTGGTGCAATGTATCTCTAGCTTTTCTCACTTCATCATTCGTGGTGCAATGTATCTCTAGCTTTTCTCACTTCATCATTTGTGGAGCAATGTATCTCTAGCTTTTCTCACTTCATCATTCCTGGTGCAATGTATCTCTAGCTTTTCTCACTTCATCATTCGTGGTGCAATGCACATTTTTTCTGTTTAGTTTGGGTTACTTCTCAGCAGAGGTTTTTGAGCAGCTACAAGTCCATTGAAATCACCTTATACTACTGTGTATCTTACTGTTTTTGGTGTAAGATGTACACTCCTGTATTTACGAAGACATTGGCAAGATCTATACTTGACCATTTTCTCTCTCAAACAAACAACATAATCTGAGATACTTGACATCACTTATGGTGATTTTAGTTTAAAATCTCAACTCCTAATGTTAACAATGCCACTTTTGGTCTTACATACAGCACCTATTGAACAATATCACGCCCAATCTTTTACATGGAGTATCCTTCCTTAACTGATTTCTACACACTTGTCTTGTATATAATGTTGCATATTCTTTTGAGGACAGATTATAAAATGCTAAGATATTAACAAATGAACACTTATATGTGAAGAAAAAGAAAGGGGAAAAAAGTTGGGAGCCACATATGTAATTTTGTGAAAAGATTTCAATTTTCTCGCATTGAAATACAAAGTCAATTTTTTTTTTAAATCCTTGGAAAATTAAGAAAAGATATCCTCCAATGTAATTAAGAAAACTGATCAAAATTATTATTTTTCAAATCAAATTGTCAAACAAGTGTGTCCAGAAAAACAAACTTACTTTTCAGCATAAGCTGAAACTTCACTAACTTTGCAAAAAAAAAAGAAAAAAAAAAGGTGTTTTTGGTATTTCAGTGAAGGCCGATTATGGCCCAATTCTTTTAATTGCATTTAGTTCTTGAATATGTGCTTTTATATTCATTACTTAATAGTGTAACAGAAAAAAAAAAAAATAGAGAAAGGAACAGCAAAATACTTACAGTGAAATCGGTATAAGAAGAAACGCTGGCAGCTGTAGGGTTCACGATCTTGTTCTGTTTATCAAAATTTTCTCCCGGAGCTATCAGTTGGGTGGTGCCCTGTTGATTATTATCCATTATTCCTAATATTTTCCTTTCTTTATTCATGGTACGCCCTGGAGTTGTTTTTGCTGGGTTTAGTTGGTGGGGTGCCTGGGAAAATTTTTTTTTTTATATCTGAGAATATACAAAACAACCAAACACTGGTATGTTGAAATTGAATAGTTGGCTGATGTCAAAAGTCAGAATTCAGTCCTGTCCATTTTTCTTTATCCAATACTCTACCATCCACTGTGAATCAAAAACTAGGGTAAGGGCCCCAGATCGGCTAACAAACGAACTCCCAAAGCCCCCCATGTTTGACTGTATATCACCAGTAGGGCGAAACATGATACAATTTCTTGATCACGAGCATTTTAAAAGCTTTAACGTCTTAGTATTGCATAAACATATAACTATCAAGATCGTACTGATCACTAAACTATCAAACACTGATTTTACAAAAAAACAAACAAACAACTTAACTTATATTTCAGTATGGAATGTAACAGTTTCAATTTGGTTTGATGTTGCATTCACACTTACAGTGCTGGTTAATGTTAGTACACAGTGTTAATACCATCACACTTACAGTGCTGGTTAATGTTAGCACACAGTTCTAATATCATCACACTTACAGTGCTTGTTAATGTTAGTACACAGTGTTAACACCTTCAAACTTACAGTGCTGGTTAATGTTAGTACACAGTTAACACCTTCACACTTACAGTGCTGGTTGATGTTAGTACACAGTGTTAACACATTCACACTTACAGTACTGGTTAATGTTAGTTTTAGGGATGCACGGGCAATCAGTCAGATATTAGGCCCCGGCTGAGTGTTGAAGTTAGGCATCTAAGCCCTAATCTTTGTGGCAACTAACATGGTACTGAAAGTTACAGTCAATAATTGGTTTAGTTATAAAAAAATGTGTTCCGAGCAACAAAGACTGACCGCCAGCTTAAAGTCGGGGATTCAGAGAACAATAGGGGTTAATAAAAGGCATGGCTTGTGAATTGGATTTCTGGGGAAGGTGGGGGTTTCGAGAACAATAGGGGTTAGGGTTTGAGAAGTTGGGGTTAAGCATTGAAAGTTGAAATTAAAACTTGAATGTTCTGTTGGTGATTATTTGGTTAAATGTGACAAATGGCAATTTTGTTTTAGTTTCTAATTTTGTGTATGTTGTTTTTGTTGGATTTTTCTTGATGTGTGTGTGGGGCAAGGGAGAATCCAGTACTGGTTGATACCAGGCCCAGGCTTAAGCTTAATGTCTGGGTACCCGAATCCAGTATTTAGCCCAATTTTACTACCCGTGCATCCATAGTTAGTATAATTCTGATTACCCCAGAAGCATGAAATGTATCAAGAAAATGATTCTACTTATAGGTCAATGATTATAGCAAAACTAATACAAATACTTCATTCATATTTAATGGTCACATAAAAATATTAAATGCGTGTTCTTACAGGTGAACGCCAAGGTGTTCTTCCAGCCGAACGAGGTGGTAATTCAACAGGAGAGTGAAATATAGTTGTTCCAGGTGTCTGAAAACAGTTAACAGAAACGGGGGTACCAGGTGCATTGGTCTTTTCCTTGCTTCCCCTCATTTTCCTAGTCCTGGTTGGAGTTTTACCTGGCGTTACCGCTTCGTGCCTTCGTTTGCTTGAAGTTGGCCGAGAACTGCTTACCAATTCTTGTTTGAGTTGTTTCGCTTTAAGCTGATGCTGGAATAATCGAAGTACAAAGTTAATTACTTTTGTCACACTAATAAATGTTTACCCTATGCAGTTACACTTTAATTACTTTTGTCACACTAATAAATGTTTACCCTTTGCTGTTTTGCCATCTCTTTTTCTTCCCTGTGACTTTCCCATAATCCTTCTATATACTCCTGGATTTTAGTTCCCCTCACACGAAACTCCCGATCTTGATTTTTCTCCAACATTGAAATTTTCTCCACCAACTCTTTGTCCAACTGGAAAGAGGAAAGTTTTACGTTGTCTAAAAAATGTAATATCAAAAATTTACTTTCTAGTATTCAAACATCTTTCACACATATTAGAATGAAGAGATAAGGTTTATGCTATAGAGCATAGTTTGTTTTACCAACCCATTTTAGTGTTATTCTAAATGACTCTTGGTTCTACGTACTTATGGAAGAAAAAAAATACTACATTAGCAAAATTAGGTCCACAAATATTCATACATCATTTATCAAAGGATAAAACAAACTTTTAAGCATTTCGACGTCAAACCTGCTGAAACATAGACAGCCCTAATATCCTATCTAGATTGAAATTTAAAGAAAAAATTCTTTTAATTCAGATGGAAAAAAAAAATCTTGTATGTTTTAAAAAAAAAGGTTGAAAATTAGCCAGTTTTAAACTAATCAAAAAGTGTGTACCTTTGGTAGCTCCTTTAGCAGCCGTTTTCTTTCTTTTTCTTCTTGCAGTAAAGATCCACCTCTATTTGTAAACCTGTGTGGATCACTTGCTTTTTTCTGTTAATAGAGATAAGGAATCGTAAAATTTATTTACGTTAAGTATCAAGAAAACAATTAATTAAACTAATATAATATTACAAATAGAGTGTCTAGCTTATACAGATTAAAAGTATTAACTATCTTATTGACTATAAATTCTGAAGTAACAGGATTTATTAGGTTTCTTTCAAAAAAAAAATTCTCAGTAACTTTCTGATTAGTATAATGAGAAAAATAAATGTAGCTACCAAAATTATGAAATGTATTTTAATAAACTTTTAAGCATAATAAGAGAATAAAACAAGAAACTAATAATACGACAGGTTTATAAATAACAAAACCACTGTATCATACTGAAAAACTGCCACAATGTCGAAACTCTTGATATCTTCTATATTTACTATAAAATATACACGAGAATTTACCTCAAATTCAATCATCTTTTGCCAGAAATCTTCCCTTTTTTCTAACGTCATAAAAATTTCTTGATGTTCTTCATACAGGGTCTTCATTTTATGAACCTCTGCATCATGAGCATCAAGCAGTTCTTCGTTGTAATTGTCTAAAAAAGAACAAGAATGAACACTAAAATGTTTACGGAAAACACTTTTTTTTTTAATCGCACTGTTATTTCATCCTTTACAAATGTTGTCTATCACAAGCATTAATCTTTAAAATATTTTAAGACACAATACAGAAATATATTTTTGTGCATTTTCTAAGCTTTAATTTCTTTCCCTTGCGGCCCCTCTTTCAAATTTAAACTTTTTTTCTTTTTCACATACGAGATTTTACTTCTCAACCAATTTATCCCTAACTCAGCCTAAGAGTGATCTTCAATCCAAACAAACAACTACGCAATTCTTTTCTCTTCGATGGCACTAAATATTTGAATGGTTCCTTACGCAAACTACATCTAATGGTTAGAAAATTTCTTATTTGTATTTTATTTTGGAACAAATGCACCAATTTTCTTAACTTTAGACCAAAGGAACAATTGTATCCACTTTCTTAACATTAAACCTAAACCCATTTTCTATTTAAAGGTTCACAACATTAAAAAAAAGTACTGAAAACGGAAACCATACAAATGTGACGCACACAATTACTTCAATACACGCAACTTGGTAAGCTATATTAACTAATACACAATTAAAAAATACTATATTAAAGATGACAGCAAGGATAAATTATTTTGAAAGATATTTTGATAAAATGTGAATTTTGGTGTAGAATAACATTATAAGGATTAAATACCTCCAATTTTTAAATTTATCACGAATAGATTATAATCTTTAAAATATCAGGAAAAGGTTCCTTCATACCTTTAGCATTGATTTTAACAGAGGACCTATTGAACTTTAGAAAAACTAAAAACTGTTCCTGTAAATAAATTAAAAACTCAAATAAAGTACAACAGTACATTATCTTCCATTTATAGATTGGGTTTCTTAAGTTCATATTACAAGACGTCATGTTTTAAGGCCGTCATGATGTTAGAGAAATACATTCTGATTGAATCCCAGTCTCTGTTTTTCACCTTACCACTATAGAAAGGCTTAAAGTCCTCTCTTTGTTTTTCTCCATAGAAACACTTGTCCCACCACTGCTTTAGTTCATTTCTCATTTTGTCCACAAATACTTTTATATTCTGACGCTTCACGACTTCACACTTGTCAATTTCCTTTTGAAACTTAAGGGGGGTGAAAAAATAAATAAATTTAATTCACAGAGTACACGAATTTCATAAGAATATGAAACAGTTTTTTCTAGAATCGTTCTAGCAATTGTAAATATCTAAGATTTAATTTTAAATGTTCAGTATGGTCGCATTCTTTTCAAGAACTTTTCCTCTGACTTTACAGAAACAAAAAAGTCCCAAAATTTCAAATATGAAGTCAATTACTAAGTTTAATAAAATTCTTTTGTATCGAGGGAATCTTATACCCAGCATCACACTTTTTCACAACTACAGTACTATTGACAAATTTAGATATAACAGATTTTTTGATATGTACATAATGAAAATAAGTAACGAATAACACTGACATTGGCCACATGTTTTCATAAAAATTTCCCATGAACTTTCAGGAAACTTAAGATATTTTTCAGACTTGAACACGTATACATAGGACGCACAGACACTTCAGCATTTTCTCTTAATTCTATCTAATTAACACCACACTAAAAATCCCGCGTTTTTATTTTCACTTATTATGAATTAGGTAATTCTCATCGGATAAATTAACAAAGATTGGTTAAGATTACGTGAAAACACTTATAAATGGACACATTTCTCTAACCAGAGTCAGATCCAATAACTTTCATAGAGATTCTCTTTTAATCAAGAGTTAAATATAACTTTTTGGACATCAACAGTCACCTCCCTAATTTAGCGGTGTAAGACTAGAGGGAAGGCAGCTAGTCATCACCACCCACCACCAAACTCTTGGGCTACTCTTTTACCAACGAATAGTGGGATCGATCATCACATTATAATGCCCCAAAGGCTGAAAGGGCGAGCACGTTTTTGGTGCGATGTGGATTCGAACTCGCAACCCTCAGATTGCGAGTCAAGGGCCCTAACCACTTGGCCATCCCGGGCCCTTTAGTGACTTAAGAACTATCTTAATCAAAACTTTGGGCATACTTTTCCCTCATCTTTCAAAGTCTAAGAATAATTTTCAATTTTCCACAGTATTTAACTCTTCTTTTTCAAATTTCTTGACTTTCCAGGAACATTCCGGGCCCTTTAGTGACCTAAGAGCTATCTTAATCAAAACTTTGAGCGTACTTTTCCCTCATCTTTCAAAGTCTAAGAATAATTTTCAATTTTCCACAGTATTTAACTTTTCTTTTTCAAATTTCTTGACTTTCCAGGAACATTTCCTGGCTATCCTAAAATTGGATATTGCAAATATTTAACAGATTTATACCAAAAACACACTTACCAACATTTAGGCAGTGGACATATATTACATTGTTCACAGTTAACAACTGAAGTGACTAAGGTTTACGAAAGCAAACTGGTCACAAACTTATTTAATCTCAACAGATGAAGAAACAAAAAATAAAAGAGGTCAATCTTATAGTCCTACAGTCAAAACTACAATATACTTGTTGAGAATAAATAAGCCATCATATAAACACATAACTAACCTTTGTCCCAATGAAGTTATTCTTGTATATGATCATATAGCATGATTAAATTGTACTATACACATTCGACAGTGACTATTCGAAAAACTCACAGCTTCCAGAGTTGAGGGACGAAAGCCTTGGTGGGCAGCAAGGTACTGATTCTGTTCAACTTGGTCCACCTCCAGTCGGTCCCATAAAACCTGAAGTCTGTTTTTCAGCTCTTTACCTAATGATTCGCATTCTTGATGGGCTTGGCAAAGCTTTCGTGAAATGATACAAATGTCAGATTTAAGAAAAAAACAACAACCTTGTCTGAAAATGAAATGTATGTTCACAAAGACATTTCTAAAACATAAATTTTCTTGTATAGAAATATTTCACAAGCCTTTAGTAGGATTAGAAGATAGTTACCTCTTGTTTAATCTGGACAAGACATAACATTTTAAGGAAGTATTGTCTTTTCCACCACTGTTTTGAAGTCAAATTTATATTCTATATCACACTAAGAAACTATGTAGGGTAACTAGATAAATCCCAATAACCCGAGGGGCAGACTCCCCTTTCCGAGTTCAATTGTAAATCAACACAAAGTTTGGAGTCTGTTCTAAGATACCACGAGTGAATCAAAATAAGAATGTTATAACACGTTAACCACGCTACACATCCAGTGCCAATGAGGCCTTTTGACCAACACGAAGGCTCAACAGATATAGTAATGGTCTAAGGTCTATATATATATATCATCAACTGTTAGTGTGTGAACCAGATTATCCAAGTAAACTGTAATTATTATAAATTTCATTTGAGTCATTTACTAGTCATACTTTTAGGTAAGAATTAATAACATAACATGACTTACTTGAATTAAGTTCACTCTCATTCACTTGCTCATGTGTTTCCTTTTTACTCATAATTCACATTGAAAAAAAAAATCGTTTGCTGTGGATTTCGCGCAAAGCTACACGAGGGCTATCTGTGCTAGCCGTCCCTAATTTAGCAGTGTAAGGTTAGAGGGAAGGCAGCTAGTCATCACCACCCACCGCCAACTCTTGGGCTACTCTTTTACCAACGAATAGTGGGATTGACCGTCACATTATAACGCCCCCATGGCCGAAAGGGCGAGCACGTTTGGTGTGACAGGGATTCGAACCCGCGACCCACAGATTGAGAGTTGAGCGCCCTAACCATCTGGCCATGCCGGGCCAAAAAAGAAATACCCACCTTCTCAAAGCACCAAGAATTTCAGGTTTATTTTATCAAGCTTATACACTTTGTTTAAATTGTAATAGTAAATCGCGCACACTGATTTCTTTCCTACCTTATACTTTACTCTTTTCCAAGAGAGAAAAACAATAAGACAGCACAACCAAAGTAATATTAATTTGATTTTCAATAGTGAAATATTTATAAACAAAGAATTAATTCAACTATCTTAATAAAAAGTGATAAACTTAAACTTATCTATCGCTCACTGCTTAAACAAATGCAGGAAACTAATTTTGAACAAGAAACACACCACCTATCTTATGACCTTAGTGATAAAATGTAATTTAAAAACAAAACAATGGAAAATAAATATATCAGGTGTGTAGTACGTATTTCTGTTACCTTGATGTAAGATATGTACAATCGTACAAAACAAATAATTATATTTCTTACTTTTGTAACAAGCTTTTGACTATTTTAGTTTTAAGAGACTTTGGACCCGAATGCATCTAATATACTGTTTAGAACAATAGTTATCATGAGAAAAACCACATTTTATATTTTTTATATGGCTTTGACCTTTTAACCTGAAAATAAATATGGTGCTTTCTGATCCCCAAGGGTAGTGACTTATGAAGTTTGATGAATAAAACCTGCTGTTTAAAAAAAATCTAATTATTGTGTACAAAGTGGACGTCTACAGACATCATTACTATAAATGGAAAAACTTTTTTTGGATCTTACGTACATACGAGCTATCTTAATCAAACATACTTAAATAAACAAGCTGGCCTAAGTGTAAAAAAAAATATATTTTTTAACTCCAAACCTTGTCATGAAGATCTTTAAGATTTTGCAGGTTTTCTTGGGATAATATAAACGATTCTTCTTCTTCACAAATAATGTCTCGCTCAAAGGAGCTTTCTGGGACTCTCTCTAATTCATCCATGAACCTTATAATGTTTTCTTTGAAGTGAAGAAATTTTGATAGTCTTCGCTCCTGTATTTTGAAAAACGGTGAAAAAAAAAGTATTGGTATACAATAGATTTCTAAATAAAAATGTTATATTTCACAAGGTTTTTTTTTTAACCCATGAACACCCCGGTGTTAAACGTTTTTTTTTGACAAATCATGGACACTTTCATTATATTTGAACAAGTCAAATTTCATCTTATGGAATGTTTAGAAAAAAGAAAATATAACATGTTATTAACAACAAAGTCTTAAGGAATTGAGCCGACTCTTCCTTCCAGCTACCAGGAATAATTATTCGACAATGTCAGACACCTGTAGCTGAGCAAGCTAATTATCTGCTGTGGGTTTTTGGTTGATCAATCACAATGTGATGTTGTTTTTTTGTTGATAACATATATACCTATTTAATTTTGATATCACACTAACTTCGGGTCTTACTAATTCCTCCAAGTAACTCTACTGAGCTATGTTGAAAAAGCATACTTTTCACACTCTTAAAGCCTTCAAAATGGAAAGATATAGGTTCCTTAAGATTATAAAAAAAAACAGTTACATTTCAGTTATGTTCAACTTTATATTGTTAGTTGTACTGTACCTGAGAGTCTCACAAATATTACGAGCCTCCATAAAAATATAAATAACTTTTACTGCTCCTCTGCAATCTCACCAATTCATGCTTTTATGGCATTTGATTTAACCTATACTCAAAATATGATTATACAGTCTACAGAGAAATCTTGAATATTTGAAGGACTTAATTATATGTATTCCCGAAGGAAAGATTATTATAAAATATTGTATTGACACATATATACTCCAAGAGAATTTAAAATCTGTTGTACCATAATTGAATATTATTAAAGTTGCATCTTACAGGTGTCTTAGGAATTATTACTCATAAAATCTCGAAGTATATAGTAAAAAAAAACCCATAGAATACTTACTATCATAACTGATTGGTAACTTCACTATCTGTGCATTTTTCATGTTAAGAAATATCAGGCTTCTTAAACGAGTAAGTTGTTTCAGATACTATTTTTTTTTATAAAGCATCACAAAAACAGAGAGAATAAAAACAAAGAAACACAAAACCTTTTCTTCTTTCAGCATTGCCACATGCTGTTCCACTTCTTTAAGATCTTCCTTTGAAGGAACGCCAGATTCGTTTGGAATAGAGAGGGATGGTATAACAAGTAATGTACACAGTTTGTGTTCTGCTTCTCTGAGGCGTTTTAGTATTTTTAGTCGTTCGTGTTTCTCCTTTGACAGGTCATCTACTCGCGTCCTAAGTTCCTTCTCCAGTTCAAGTATGGATAACCCTTCTTCAGGCTACAAGAAACGAAACGATTTTTTAAACTATCACCACCACAAACTGTTTGCTCACTGTCTCTTTCCACAATTTTAGTATGAGCATCTCCAAAATTGGCCATGGCAGTGAGGTCTGACACAGGATGGTACTATCTAAAGATGTGCATGTTCTAAAAAAATCACTTAAAATAGCTTTCACATAACCAAACATCATAAACCAACTACAGTTATCTAAATTATTTATTTTTCTTTGTTTCTATCAACTATTTCTTGCCTATTTATCATCTTGTGAATAGTTTTATTAGTTCAAGTTTTTGTTTCTACTTAATACTAAAACTACAATGAAAACTTTTTTTGGTAAATCTTTTATTAAATTTCAGCCTTTTGGATAGTTTAATAATTGCTCTCTCGTAGAAGGTAAAGTATACCAAAGACTAATTGGAAAAGTTTCCGTTTCTTACAATTTATTTTGTAACATACAATTCTTCAATTTATACTATAGCTCATTCTTAACCTCTAATTACTCTGGTTGAAACAGACCGAGATTTAATGTACACGATAATGAAAACAAATTCCTTAAGATTCTTCAGTTAAAATTAACTTATTGAAGTGTAACTTACGATATATGCATATTTTTGAGTATCACATTTCAAATTTCCATTTGTTTTGCTATTAAGAGAGCATTAAAAGGAAAAAAATTTTCATACTACCTTATAGACTACTTGACAGTTATTTTTTTAACAAGTCACCTACACAATCTTTAATTTTCATTTAGGCTTAATTCCAAATGGTCAAGAAAAATCGGTGATTGGTTAAACACTATCTAAAAAGAGTATATTGTAAAAATATGTCCAGCTGGTTAACATATTCAGTAGCAAGAAGGAGGAAGTCAGTTTCAAAATGTTCAAAGAGCCCACTTTTTCTGGCAATCAAATTCATGGAAGCAATTCAACTCAAACAAAGAAACATTTTTTAAAAAACACAGAAATGTCCTTAACAAATCTAAATCTACAAGATTTACACAGACCAAGAATACCAAGTCACTACGACTACGACCTTCGTGTACAGGTACACCACCGATTTTCTGGCACCCTTGGTTCCAGAGCCTTGCCAGAATAACAGAGGTCAACAATACACCTCAGACCCACTAATCATATCTCTTCTGTGTCTCTAAAGCACCATGGACTGCTAGAAACTTAAAACAAATATTAAATGATTAAAGAAATACATTAGTAAAGGTATAAATAATACAGGTTTATTAATTACTGTACTTACAAATAATGTTGCAGTAGTACTTCCTCCAAAGTGGCAAATTTTACAATTTTTACTGGATTTGTTAAGCTAATCACAAAGGTCTGGAAGTTGAGGGCTGTCAGGATTGCTACTAATATGTTAAACTATATATTCTTGGCAACATTCATGAAAAATTCAAGCAATTTGATCCACTAGTTTAATATCTATAAGAAAATTTTCACGAGAGTGACGTACCTACTTAAAATGTAAGTATCCCATCCCGATAGAGCGAGTGCCATGTACAATGCCAACTGTGGCCACCCAGTGAACTAGTCTGGTGGTCGTAGGAATTTCAAGTGCGCTCTTTTAATTTTGTCCGGATTAAAGGAGGTGCCGGATCAACAGCTGCCAGAAAATCAGTGGTGTACCGTGTTGACTTAGGTGCCTCATCCATGAAAAGTTGCATTAGATAAAGCCAAATATTAACAAGACAAACAGAACTGTCTGTGCTGTGCCCACTATGGGTAACAAAACCCAATTTTTAGTGTTAAAAGCCTTCAGACTTACCACTGAGCCACAAGAGAGGCTTTAAGTTGTACACAAAAATATTAGAGATATACTGGCTAGACTTCACTTGGAACGTTATGTTCCGTTTATTTTATCCTAGATGTTGAACAGTTTAAAAAATAGAAAGAACTATAATGATAATTCCAAATTTTGGAGGATTATTGTCCAGATATAGAATGAAGTTTTTTCACATTTATTCACCGGAAGGAAGGGCTTTGTGAGACATGAATGAGGTTACGATTTTTAGATTTGGTATTGATAAGTCTAGCTGATACTTTCGAGAAAAACTCTCCATGCAATAACAGGCTTCCAAAAGGCCACAGCAAAAACAAATTTTTTTAAATGTTCCTTCTTCTAGAAATTACGTTCAAACTTATAGGTTTTTGAATTTTTAATTTTCACTATTTAAGGAATAAAAATTTGATAATGAAAATAAATATTTTAAAGGTTCCACCGAGAGACCTGCAGTACAATTAAAGGATGTACATACGTAAACTTTAATACTGCACCAGAGACAGTGTTACTTTTCTAATAGAGTGGTTGGCCTATAAAATAACTTGCTTTCGGGTGTGTAAGGAGTTGCAACACCAAGAGTTTACAAGGTGATTGTACGAATATTTTAAAAATCAGGGTTTAATATAGAAAAAAGGAGCTTCAATACTTAGTATCGAAACAGTTGATAGTAGAAACCAAGATAGCTTAGATGGACCAAATAGTCCCTTTTCATCCCATGATAAACAACAACAAAAAATTTATATTTTTTTTTCTAAAAAGTCTTGGCTATTGCATAATTAGATACACATGTATTACAAAATTTTTTTTTTAATTTCTTTTATTATTACAGTGTTTTATTCTCAAGATGTAGTGGCTAAGATTATATCTATATCTTAAAAGTTTACTACTATTGTGCTAAAGGCAAACAACACACACACACCAAACTTATATTGACTAGACATCAATATTACCTCGTATGGTTTCACGCCAAGCTCTTGAGCCAGCTTTAGAAGTTGTTCTCCACAACTCTCCACGCTAGTTATGAGCCTCTGCCTCAAATTCTTTTCTTCCTGCACCATCTCTTCGAGCAGAGTCCGCAGGTGCTGAATCACTACACCGATTCTTTCTTGCCGCTGTTCTTCAAAAATCCCGATCTCATCCCAGATCGCAAATAGTTGGTTTAGTGCAACATTAAAGTTGTTCAAAAGTAGTTCTCCCAGCTCCTGTCTTCGTTAATAATATAATTATAGCAGGTTGTCTTTCTTACAGGTTATGAAAACAATTACACACTTCTCTCCTACCAGTGTATTTAGCACATTTCACATGTTAAAAAAATCTTGAAATTAGATTCACCTTCATATGATATAGTTTACACATTATTAAACATCACACATACTATTCATATTTACTGTATGAGCTTTTAATTGTTGTAAGTACTTTCAGTGCTTTTTTTCTATTCCCACAGTCTCACCCCCCTACATACGTTCTTCCACTTTTAATAAAAAAAATTTTGAAGATAGAATTATTATTTTTTTACCTATTTAGAACAAAAATTACAAAGAGTTATACTTACAGTGACATTAATAAAAAATATTGAATTTTTTTTACTTGCATAATGGTTGATAGAGTAGGCATCTACTTGAAATAAAATAGTAGTCCAAGTATTTGCTCAAAGTCATGCTATATTGTTATGTAAATACTGGATACGGGTGATTCCTGATGTTAGACAAAAGTAAAGTAATTTACCAAATCAGTCTACCCCAAGCTTAAATATGCTTACATAACTCACTAGTTATGACTCATTTGAAATATTGTGTGTAGTTTTAGACCTCATATCTCAGAAAGATTTGTTGAAAGAGTTGTTGGAGAGGATTAAGAGGAGGGCTACAAGAATAATTCCAGGGATTTTCTTAACCCGTTCTCTCTCTTCCAAAGGGGTAAAGGGTGATACATTTCAACACATTTGCTGAGGAATTATGGGCTGAAATTTTCAAAATTACACAAACAAGATTTAATAATTAAAGTAACTGAAAAGCTTGTGCTTCATTAAGCTTAGTTTAGGTGTTGTAAACGAAGCTACTTATATATCAAAATGCTGATATTTAAATATCAGAGAAGTTATGAATCAGGTTTTTTTTTTGATATCCTATAATTTATTGTTTTTAATACAAAAATACACACATGTGAGAATGGGTTAAAATAAAATTTTCTACTTACGTAGGTAATAATTTTGTCAGATAAAACTATTTTGGGCGATATAAGCAAATCTGATTAAGACATTGAGGGTAATAAAAAATGAACAACTCATCAGTCACAGTCAATTCATCACCACGAACGTAAGAAAAGGTTAAGACTATATTTTTATTGTTATGGTTGTAACAGTAATTCTTACTATTATTATTATCATTATCGAACACCTATACAGTCGGTATATATACCGTATATATGTAAAATCAATTATGATCAAATATTTTATTCGCATGCTGTTTTTTTTCATATTATTATTATATAATGTTGTTGTCTCTATCTCCTTGCATCTAAGAAAGGAAAACAATGTTGTGTACTTAAGTAGGATACGACGCTTATGAAATATATTACATTTCAATTTCCATCTACAGCTGAATGAAATATGTAGACTTGCCCAGGGTGTTCTCATAAACATTGCAAACATTAACAAAGGAACGACTGAATGGACAAAGAAAGGAAGTAGAAATAACGAAAAAACAACAACTTAAGTCAGTTACAGCATCTTAATTGCTTTTTTTTTACTTAGTTGAAGAGTTGACGGTAACTGCCAGTTTCTTGCCTGCAGAAGTGCTCTGCATTCAGTAGCTTCTTGGTTTTTTCAGAAAGTGATGAAAGATGAGTTTTATTTCTGATGGTTGCTTTTAAAAGCAAACCTCTGGAATTGTGGCATGTTTGTAGTTGTCCGCTAGATTGCAAGTCTCTCATCCATTGAAGGGATTGTTCCAAGTCTTTGTACTGTACTGAATCGCAGTCACGAATAAGTGTCACCAGGTCCAAGTTTTGTTTGTATCCACCCAGTTAGTATTCAATAAATGATTTATTTTTTCACTGTTGCTTGTCCACTCTATGTTGTGGTTTCCAAGTTGAATACCCTGGATCGAAGCCAAGATATACATTTCTTAAAGTAAAGTGTAAACTCTGGAGCATATTTGGCAATGCAATCTTTAGAGTGTGTCCATCCTGACCTCCGATGTGAGGCAGTAGAATGCTGAAAATGTTATCTTCCAATGTTTTTGTCTTCCAGGTAATCGTTTAGGTTGTTTTTTTTCTAACAACATAAGCAGGTCACTTGGCAGGAAATTGGAAATGCAATCCTAATGGATTTTTTTTTGCTTCTTTTAGAGTTTCTTCATTATTGGTACAAGTCATAAGTTTGCTGATGTCTTCATACAAATCTTCCCTGTAAACTTGGATGAACAGACAGACACTTGACCTTTATATATATATATTTATAAGGGCAGATTTTTTAAATTTATTCATTCAGTAGTTTTAGTTTAGTTTAGAGCAGTGGTTGACAACCTATGACCCGTGGGTCACTAAGTGACACACGGCAATAACTTGGATGACCCGCCAAAAGTTGGCTTCACCATTGCAACCCGTGAGAGCATAATCATTGTTCAGTTCAAGTTTCTCGGCTAGGTGAGAAGAACAACGATATTAAAGGAAAGATGGGAAAGAGTCACGGCTACGGAGAATTTTAAGATCAATTTCAGGGAAAAATATCAAACTGGTCGAACTATTAATTTTTTTGTATGTAAATAAACATACACATTTAAAATACATGTACTGGTATTAATAATTATATGATCATCACTAAACCAACACAATGCTAAATTTTTCAACAAAAAAAATAATTCATGATCCCCCAAATATTCACAAACCATTTTTATTAAAATACAACTCCTTTAAATGTAATGTGCAGGCTCTACTTGTACCACTCACGATGGAAATTAGTTCCTTGGAAGTTGGATTTCCTACATCTGTATTCCGAAGGAGAAATAAAACTGGCTCAAATGGAATCTCCAGTTATGTTTGACTCTTTAAAGTTAAAGTTTTAAAAAGCTCAATTTATGACCTCTTGTTAACGTAATATTTAGGGACAACAAGAGACCTGTCCCATCTTGGCTGTTCAATCCTCTAAACCAGTGGTCGGCTACCTTTTTTGATCGCGGGTCGCTAATAGTGCTATTAAAATTGACTCCCACTGTCTTAAGAGTTAAGTTAAAATTATAATTTATAAATTGATTCATCACATCAGAAATGCTTTGGCTCTTAACCTCCTTTGACTATGATGATATTCATTCAGAAAACCCGTTGCTAAGTCCAGAAACTTTCTGGAAAGACAACCCCGTGAAATGATGCAGCGTAACCTCAGTATAAGTTATATTTTTATAAGAGTAAGAGATCTCACTCTTAGTCTTACTTGCAAGTTCAACTTTCAAGTTACTGGGTCTGATTAGTTACTATGGCCGTTTCCATCCTGTGGATATTATTAATTTGTAATTATTAGTTATGTACAATTTTAGCTTTTAATTTTATGGTAGGAGTTATTACACAACCAGTTTGTAAGGTAAATGATAAAGTTGTAATAGTTAATGATATTACGTTCGTGCTATTTAAAATTATACTTCTGAAGTTAGGCCTAATCATGCTGAAGCGTAACGTCTTGCATAACATTGTCAGTTTACACTGACAGAATTATAATAGGTTAGTTATATTTACTTTAAAATTTTAAATAGTGTTATAACAAATAGTATACCTGGTTTCAGCCATGGCTGGTTCCGAATTGGTTATTCTCTCTCCCACTTTGGAAAAAAAGTCTGAATTTCTGTTTTCTGTCATTTCAATGGTATTGTTACTCATAGACATTGAGATAAAACTCAACGTTTAGCCTACATAAAAATTATTACTAGTATTTTAGTTTAAAATATGCTGAATAGCTATGATTGGTCTATTTTTCAACGGTAACATAGAGCGCCATCTTTTGTCGATTAGTTTTATTCTCGAAATTGTTCAACACACAAGTATTTTAAATGTGCCGATGAACTTAAAAAGACATGGCATTTCCATATTTATTTAAATTAAAGGCTTTATTATACTTGGCAAAGTAAAAAGTATCACACAATTGATTATGCACAAATTGTTTACTTTGTTCTTGCTTGCTTTAAACACTAACTGAATCGTAACGTACATACAAATAAATTAGTATTTTAAATGATATTTCAGAGTAAATACAAAGCTTCGTTGGAAAAATATACTAAATTTTATCAGTTTAAAATTATTATTATGAGAATTTTTGAAGACTTTAAAGCTCGGTAGCGTTCTCATTTATTAATTTTTTTATAGGCGAGAAATGTCATTAGATTAATTTGTTTTGTTTTTTTTGTTTTTAGTCTACACTCTATATTTTGTTTGTTTGTTGTTAAACAAAAGGCTACACAATGGCCTATCTGTGCTCTGTCAACTGCGGGTATCAAAACCCAATTTTTAGCGTTATAAGCCTTCAAACTTAACGCCGAGCCACCAAGGACTACATTTTTTTGAATATATGAAATCCCACTGTCCATAAAACATATCCTTGACTGCCATGTTTGCTACCCGGAGTTTTGTTGTTATTTTACGTGTTTTAAACTTTGATTTACTCATTGCTAATCTTCTCTAATTAACATTAAAATATTTCAGATGTGAGGCGTGTGAATAAACCATGCGTTTTTATCTTCTTGTATTATTATAGTATTTATTCTGAATTTATAATTTATTTTGTATTTGTGCAGGTTTCGTGGTCAAGAAAGCCGTTAAGTTGGTTTAATTCTACCTGTTGTTATTCACTTGTTCTCGAGTGGATAATATCTGTTTCTGCCGGGTATATTACTGCAATATTGCAAGTTGTATAAGGATGTGGACAACAGTATCATCAATGTTCGTTTAAGTGATATGTATAGGTTATAGCTTCACCTATGTTGGAAAGAAAATGACCAGTCACGTGGTATCGTTAATCACTCTGGATAAATGCAGTTTTTCGTGTGAAATAAAAAATGATGGCATTAGTCAGTCTGGAACAGGACCTTGAATGAGAAGCAGCTTAAAGAAAGAATCTATGAAAAGAGTAAGTCTGTCATTCCATAAAGGCAAATACAGACATTGTGTTGGTGTTTTTCAACCGTTATAATAGAGATTGCGCATTTTTATATGTATTTCACTTTGTGTCCAGTCTCGTTATTCTATTCAGTATCCCATCTCAGATATTCAGAAATTTAGCATTATTTCATAATCTTGACCAAATATTCTGCTTTTTAGTGGACCTATATCACTGCTGGAAGATTAATTGAATTTTTACCTGAATATATCACCACATGGATAGAAAGAAGAACATCTCGATGCTGTTACACTAGGGTATTGTGTTGCAGAGTTTGCAATATCTACTGAAGTATATATTGCTCTTTACTCTTACTCTTGTGTGAATTAAGTTTTTGGAAAGGTTTCATAGTTAAGAAAATGGAATTTCACAATTAGTAGAACTTGCAACCAAGAGGAAAAGTTGTCCAAGAAAGTTGTGTGATCTTGAATACCTCTTCTGAACTTTTGTCAAATGCTGCAAAAATCCATTACTTCTATCTTGCTACAAATGACGATCAAGAAGGAAGAGCCGCCGATATCTGGTGCACCCAAGATGCTTGTCCATATTCTTCCCTTGAGGATCTACCACAGTGTGATGGAAACATGGATGACTGAGGACTGCCATGCTGATGCGATGTTTGGTGAGTCTGTGACTGGGTGGAGTGTTCTGTATGGGACTCCAAACTCATGCTAGCCAGAGTAATCTAACCCAATAGATCATGTTCAAAAAATGGGTTGTGTCTTTAATATATGACGTCAAACACGTCTTTGATGTGATGATCAACGTAAACAGATAAGTTCTCGGTGGGCATACCGCAATTGGAAAAAAAAAGGACGACCGGGATTGTTAGGTTTGTGTATCTTTGGTAACATGTAAAAGCGACCTGGAACTGGGTGTTTAGGTGAAAGGAACTGTAAAGTTTCATGACTTATGTGTTGGTTTTTCTGTAAACTACATAGCTTGTCTTCAATTATTTTAACAAATTCCGGGGTGGGGTCGAAATCTACTTTTTTATAGTAGTTTATGTCACTAAGTTGTCGATAAGCTTCGTTAATATAGTCGGATTTGTCCTGAATGTTGACCATCTTACCTGCTGTTGTTATAACTCTAGTTAGCAGAATTCATTCACCAACAGCACCTCCAGTCTATCTCCAGTGTTCTCGGGTGGCTTTGACCAGAGCTTTGGTGTGTGGAGGGTGACAGCTTTGAAAATGTATGTATTCTGGTTTATCAGTCGGTTTAAGGGACAAATCAGTGTGTAGAAAACCCATCTTTTATTGTCAGGTTTACATTTAAAAACTTCATTGAGTAGTGGAGTAATCTAGAGGAAATTTAATAGAAGTGTGGAAAGAGTTTGCATGTCTATATAAAGATAGTAAGGAGTCTTCGTATCCTACCCAATTGAAAAAAAAATGTCATCTGTTTATCGTTTCCAAATGTTTGGTTTCTCTTTATAACTTTCCAACAGTCTCGTCTCTAAGTCTCCCATGAAAACACTGGCATAGTTTGGTGCCATCTTGGTCCCCATAGCTGTGCCTTTTGTCTGAGTATATAATTCATTATTAAATTCAAACCCGTTAAGTGTAAGAACTAGTTTAGCTAAGTCTACAATAGTCTGAATGTTGGGTTTGTCAAGTTTCAAAAGAGAAGATTCGAGAGCTTTCAGGCCTTCGTCGTGGGGAATGTTTGTGTAAAGAGAAGAAACGTCCATGGTGCAGAGAATGGTGTTTGGAGGTAATTTTCCGTTGTTGTTAATGTCAGGAAATATTACATTCAGTCAAGCACTTAGATTAAAGAAAATATGCTCTGACAGTAAGAACTATGACCGTCACATTGATTCTTTGAAAGTAACAATGACCGAAAGAGGGTATAAACAAAACACTGTGATTCAACAAGTTGACAAAGCTAACAATATTCCACGTGTATCTGCCTTGAAACAGTCACCTAAAACAAATTCCTCTCGTGTTCCACTAGTTATCACATATTACCCAAAATTAAAAACCTACCCCGGATAGTGAAAAAGCACTTTTACCTCCTTCAACTTAATGAAAGACTAAAAACTATATTTACGGAAGTTCCTGTTGCTTGTTTTAGGAAAAATAAGGGCTATCCGCACTAGCTGTCCCTAACAGTGAAAGACTAAACAGAAGTCACCATCCATCTCCAAGTGGGATTAACCGTCACATTGTAACGCTCCCCTGGCTGAACGGGCAAGCATGTTTAGTGGGACGGAGATTCAAACCCGCGCCCCTCAGATTGGTGTTTGAAGTTTATTAACTTTTGAATTAATGAGCCTTCTACAATTTTTCTTCTAACATAAATTCCAGTTTTCTATATTAAACTGACTGATTTATTTGATTTATGATCAAACTTCCTAATAAATATAGTTCTGTCGTCTTGTTAAGTAGGCTCAACCAATCAAATACCAGTATATCCAGATCATGAATTCACTCCTTCTTAGAGCTGTGCGTAGCGCCGCTATGTTTCTAGGAGCGACTAGTGGATCGACGCTACGTTTGAAAACTCATAGCGATTACAGGTAGCGTTGCGCCATTTTGTGTCTATTTTAATAGAAAATATAAACTATAATCATTTATATGTTGTATATAATTATATTTTATATTGTATATATAAACATATTATTTAAATATAATAAAATTATATTTTATATTGTATATATAAACATATTATTTAAATATAATAATTATATTTTGTATAATTATATATATATATATATATATATAATATTATATATGTTGTTTCGGGACTTAATT